TTTTTTTTTCATATTTTACCAGCACACTCAAATATTTTTGTTTCTCGGAAAGGTCGCATTTTATCCGGAATGAAAGGAAAAGAAATGAACCCAGAGGTTTATTTCTTTTCCCTCTCTTTTTTTTTATTCTTGCTGGTCTCTCTCTCTCTCTCTCGCTCTCTCTCTCTCTCTCTCTCTCTCTCTCTTTCTTTCTTTCTCACTCACTCTCTCTCTCCCTCTCTGGCACGTATACATACATGTATGCACAGAAGCACGCAGCAGAGCCCCGAAGAAGGAAATGCCTCGGACGTTCTAAGGGGGAAAAATCAGCATTTCCAATCCGACCTTCTTCCAGTGCGGGTTGCAAGCGCGATATTCAGCAACCAAACAAATTTGTACTCATAGTTTTTTATATTTTTTTATTTCTTCGTTCTTCATCTTGAAGTGCTGTATGTGTGGAAAAGTGAATGTGATCTGCGGAGTTTCAGATATAATGAGTGATTTATGGGACCCCGAAGTGCAGACGCATGGTACTGTCATATGGGGTCCATTGGATCCCAGACAGGTACTTGGACCTCGTTGTCCGTATGTCAGATCATCCGTATGTTGTATGATCACGTTTCCCCCATATACTTTAACGCGGAAGTATCTTTAGGTGGTTCCCCCTGTTCATCAAAATTTTAAGAATAAAGTTTGCAAAAAATTCAATGGCAACTGTTTCCCAGCATTCAAGAATCAAGATAAAGGTGGTACCTTGAAATTTGACTTCCCGCAATTCAACTGTCCCACAATTTGATGGTCAAATTTCAATTTGCAGGGAGGTTGAATTACAATTTGACCTCTGCACCTGAATTTTACCTGATTTGGACACTTTTTTGATTTTTTTTCTGATATTTCTCAATTTTAAGAATTGTCTTGCAATTCAACTGCTTTGCAATTTGATCCTAGTCTGACAACGGATTAGGGTCAAATTGCTGGGTACCACCTGTACAGAAAATAACTAGAAGAAAATCACACATAAAGCAGGTTTTTTGGCATCAGAATAATGAGATAAAAAAGCAAAAAACAAATCTAGCTATATATTGTATGCGCATGATGGAAAACAAGTCTGTTGAAAAAAGGAACGCAAAATCAGCCTGATTTTGATCATGAATTCAAGTAATTTTATGAGGAATTACTTCTCTGTGAATAAAAATAGCTCAATTTGTTCAATAACTATGAAAATTCAAAAGTTTTTTTTTCTAGAAATGTTGCAGAAGTGTCAGTATCTTGAGGCACTGTCCAGAAGTGGGGGTAGAATATTCTAATTTCAAGTGTCCCAAGTCGTATCGCACATATGGTGTCGGGGCGTCCGTATGTCGGGGTCCCACTACTGCACTGGATCGAAATTCTTCAACTCAGATGCTTCTCTGCCTGGAAAATTTGCTTTTGTGCATTTTTTTTTTGAAAAAGTGGTGCGCAAATCAACTCCGTCAATTATTCCCCATTAATGTCAAGAAATTAAGTGGCGTATTAGAAATTTCCCGTTTGGTTCCCAAGAACAGGAAGAGCTTATAATCCGGTTTGATAAGGTTTTCAGGAGACAAACGCAGTAGAATGTGGGGAGTAATCTTTTTAAATTTTAGCGTGCTTGGCCTTTTTTGGTTTTTATATTTTCATGCGTAATATGAGAGAAAAATGCGGATCAGTAATGAAGGCAATTTCCTAATAAGAGAGGATCCGTGGTTTGAAAGTTCAGCGAGGATCATCGTAAAAATTATGGAACAGGAAAAGTTGAACGACGTGTTATGAGAATGTGAATAGAGCTCGAAATTATTCAATTCACTATAGGTCTCGTTTTTCTTTTCTTTTCTTCATCTTCGTTCCGATGAATAAAAAAGAAATGAAATTATGGGACCCCGAAGTGCAGACGCATGGTACTGTCATATGGGGTCCGTTGGATCCCAGACAGGTACTTGAACCTCGTTGTCCGTATGTCAGATCATCCGTATGTTGTATGATCACGTTTCCCCCATTTACTTTAATGCGGAAGTATCTTTAAGTGGTTCCCCCTGTTCATCAAAATTTTAAGAATAAAGTTTGCAAAAAATTCAATGGCAACTTTTTCCCAGCATTCAAGATACAGGTGGTACCTTGCAATTTGACTTCCCGCAATTCAACTGTCCCACAATTTGATGGTCAAATTTCAATTTGCAGGGAGGTTGAATTACAATTTGACCTCTGCACCTGAATTTTACCTGATTTGGCCACTTTTTTTTGCTTTTTTCTGATATTTCTCAATTTTAAGAATTGTCTTGCAATTCAACTGCTTCGCAATTTGATCCTAGTCTGACAACGGATTAGGGTCGAATTACTAGGTACCACCTGTACAGAAAATAACTAGAAGAAAATCACACATAAAGCAGGTTTTTTGGCATCAGAATAATGAGCTAAAAAAGCAAAAAACAAATCTAGCTGTATACTGTATGCGCATGATGGAAAACAAGTCTGTTGAAAAAAGGAACGCAAAATTAGCCTGATTTTGATCATGAATTCAAGTAATTTTATGAGGAATTTCTTCGTTGTGAATAAAAATAGCTCAATTTGTTCAATAACTATGAAAATTCAAAAGTTTTTTTTTCTAGAAATGTTGCAGAAGTGTCAGTATCTTGAGGCACTGTCCAGAAGTGGGGGTAGAATATTCTAATTTCAAGTGTCCCAAGTCGTATCGCACATATGGTGTCGGGGCGTCCGTATGTCGGGGTCCCACTACTGCACTGGATCAAAATTCTTCAACTGAGATGCTTCTCTGCCTGAAAAATTTGCTTTTGTGCATTTTTTTTTGAAAAAGTGGTGCGCAAATCAACTCCGTCAATTATTCCCAATTAATGTCAAGAAATTAAGTGGCGTATTAGAAATTTCCCGTTTGGTTCCCAAGAACAGGAAGAGCTTGTAATCCGGTTTGATAATGTTTTCAAGAGACAAACGCAGTAGAATGTGGGGAGTAATCTTTTTAAATTTTAGCGTGGCCCTTTTTGGTTTTTATATTTTCATGTGTAATATGAGAGACAAATGCGGATCAGTAATTAAGGCAATTTCCTAATAAGAGAGGATCCGTGGTTTGAAAGTTCAGCGAGGATCATCGTAAAAATTAACCTTGTCCTTTTCAACTTGCTGCACAATACTCTTACACTTATCTCGAGCTTTAATAAGTTAAGTGATATCCAGAGCAAAAAGAAAAGAAAAGAAGTAGAAGCAAGGCTACTTATTTTTTCTTTACTTAAATAGTATAAATTTCGTTTTTGACAAAGCATAGCGATGCAAAAACTTATTTCGATTTAACTGTTCTTATTCAACCTTGGATGGACTAACGTCACGTGAAGCTGAATCATGATTATTATTTACGTCAGTTCTTGCTATTTATCATGTAAAGTACGGTAAGATTACATTTACGATGAGTTATAAATAATCAGCGTAAATTTTAACTGACACTTTCAAGGCCGGAAAATGAAATTCCTTCGCATAGAAAAGCTTCAACTGGTTTCAGATTGATAATTTCACAAAAAAAAAATTTGAAACACTTAATTTCACGAAAAAGAGGAATGGAAAAACATGATTTCACGAAACAAATTAAATACAAAACCCATAGAAAAACTCACGTCATTCTGTATATCATCATGTTTTTCCTTCAAGCAAAATGTTTGCTGATTGCTTCGTTCTGAAATGACTGATCTGCAATTCTCTGAACTGGTTATGAATTCTTGAACAAAATGAACTGCGATCAACATTGCTGAAAAAAGTGTTGTTTTAAAAATGTGAAATTCGAGGTAGACGACAATTTTTCTTTCGTTTTTTAAAGCAAAAATTTCGAAAAAAGAGATGATTAAAGTCATGCTTGTAAAGCTTATAATTTGTGTAATCAGTTAATTTGATGAATAGCCAAGTTTGTCGCCGAAATTGCGTCACGTAATGGTTAGAATATGCAGTCAAATCTTCACCTCGAAAAAAACCATCAATTATCATTTATTCGTTTTTAATGTATTTTTCAGTGGTAACATCATGTGCAAGGCTTTTTGAAATTTTGTGTAAGTCCTACAGCATTTGTAGATAATTTTCACAAAATTTCACAATATAATTTGCTCTTTTTTCCTTTGTCTAAAAATAAACTTTCTTCATGAACACAACTGGCTGATTTTTTTTTTAGAAAATAAAAAAATGCTGTGTACTACTGAAAAGTCTCATTTCGGCTGAGAAAATCTGGCTCTCCTTCTTTTCGAGAAAAAAGATAGAAAGTGGGTTTTAAAAATTTCTCATCCTGTTTTCAGTACTTCACACCATTTTCCTGCTTTACGTTTTGCCTTCCTCGCGTTGCGCAATATTTCAGCAATATTTGCTCCAGTACATTTTCGTTGTTTTTTTCGGGTCGTGTAAAGGAAAAAAAAAGTTCACTGCACACTGCTATAATTCTGTTTATAGACAAGGAAAAAAACGTCATTGATAAAAGGAAAAGGACAAGATTCAAAGTAGAGACAATTGCGCGATGTTGGAGCAAAAGGTGGTACAAGGATCAGCAGCCAGAGCCGTGGAGAAATCCTCCAGCTCTTCAGTATCCTCGTCGCAAAAATTCGAAAGCTCTTCTTCTTCCACAAAAACGGTGAAACAATCATTTGTCACGAGTTCCTCGTCCAGCAGCAAAAGCACGAGTTCTGCGCGCCAAAAAATCGCTGCTGCTGCTGCAGAGTCAGTCGCAGAAACCAGCAGCAGCAGACAAATCACCGGAAGCAACGTTTCTGCTGCTGAGCATCGTCGAGAATCCGCAGCAGTCGCATCAGAAATTCAGCGAGAATCCGCAGCAGTCGCATCAGAAATTCAGCGAGAAGCCACGGAATCCCAGAGAAAATTTGCTACAATTTCTGCAACTGCTGCTGCTTCTTCTTCGACTGCAGAAAACAGCAGCAGAAACGACTTCACGGATCATCATCATCATCAACGTCGAGAACCGGATGCCGAAGAATTCCGGAAATTCTCTTCATCCTCACCAGCCACTGCTTTGCATCACGACAACGATGACGATGGCAGTATTCATCGTCATCGGGATGAAGGACTCGGGAAACTGCCAGAAACCCCGATACACGTCGTGAATAAAACGGACTCGAAATCGAGTCATCAGCATCAACACGTTCACGACTCAAAGTGCGTCGACTGCAACATTTGGTCGCCGTCTTTGCAAGCCCGCAACCGCAACAGTGTTGTCGAAGAATGGAAATCCCAGCTTCGGGCTTCCAGTCCCCCATCATCAGCAGCACCGAATGCTGCAAATAATCGTCAACACCAGGACACGACCAGGCATTCCTTCAGTAGCCGAAAGAGCTCATCAACGAGCACTTCAGTCAGGGACAACAACAATCATCCGCAGAGAAAGGCGTCGACTCTGGACCGGAATTTCCGCAAGGATTCCAGTAAACAAACAAGGAAGGACTCTGACCTCGGGTCAATGAGTGTGGACAGCGAAGCCAGGAGAGAACATAAGAATGTCAAGCAGGTCGACGAGGACTGGAAGGCCTCGCTGAGGTCAGTCATCAGACATGATTTCCAACAGTTTCACGAAGTCATTATAGACAGGTCAAAGTAAATCAACATACATTAAAATTATTTTGTAAAAAATTCATCCAACTCTCAAAAGTGCCCAAGTGGTGTAACTCCTGCAGCATAAATACATTAGTTTGTGCATCACCAAAGCACCTTCTCTTCTTATGTCCAGCATTTCATATGGATAGAAATCAGCTTAAGAAAGATTTAAAAGTACTGAAATTCAATGAAGAGACACTTTCTGAAATCGTAAAGGATCAAGATAAACTGTTGGCCTTATATGATTTCTCATCAAAGATTCTCTCTATATTGTTCATTCAACTAAACCTCATACAGATGCAAGCTGAAGACCTTATTGTGCTTTGAATAAACATTTACTGCTACTTTGTATTCAAAGTCAGGAAATGGGCGGGTGTATGCATACATGTCAGATGTCCAGTTTTATTTTGTGGATTGTTCTCTTTTATTTTTGTCATCAACTTGAGCTTTGTTTCCTGCTTTGAAGTGATTGAATGTCTTTGAGGGGATTTCAGTTGGGTGGGGAGGGGTTTTGGATGCGGTAGTCTTGGTTGTGCCTTGTGAATGCTGAAAAGCGGCAAATAAAGTGTTCTGTTCATTCATTCATTGAAATTCTGTACATATTAAAAAGTCCATTACCTAAAAAAAAATTGTCAAAGGTGCTGACGGAAACATCCCATGTACATGATGTTATAAAAAGCTCATTATGATTCATTTCAAATATCATGTAACAAAATTTCTCTTTTAGTTACCCTCCCATTTTCCCCCATACACTCATCAGATTTGTAAATTATGCACCAGATTTATCTTTGTGCAACTGAATGAAGTGACAATTGAATGTTGCAAAAAATATTTCCATGAACCTGTAGCAGGGGACTTTCAATTTTGGAAAAGTTGTCGCTTTTTGTGTACATTTCTGCTGCATTCTGCTGGAAAAAAAATTCATTTTACTCCATATTGTTCTAATATTGCCATAAAACATAGTGAAAAACGATTCAATCTTCTGATTTCAGACAAGAAATTATAGTAATTTTATTCAACAAGTAATTTTATTCAAGGGTTCCTGAGAGTTTGTCGTTTAATGCCTCTGCATTGGAAAACGCAATGCAAAATACAGTACAGACAAATCTTGCAACAAGGTATTGCTCATGAAGAATTCATATTTTGGGTTCTTCCAATAGATCAACAACGTTTGATTAAAAAGATTTCTCAGATTAACAAAAGTTTCTCGCAGGTCCTAATTATTTTCGAGTATTTCGTGCCCTTAAATGGAAGCTCTACTAAATGACAACGTCCCAGGCATAAAAACTACGCTCTCACAAAGAAATGTTCAGAATCACCCAATTCTTTTTCACAAGCAGTTTAGAAACGTGAAGGTTACCGAAACTTTCTATCAGGTTTTAAATTCGAGAAAATCTGCGTTCAAAATAATAAACTAACCTGCAATTGTGCTGGAAAATTCTAATTTCAAATACGGTAATACATAGACTGTCGATGCATTTTATTATCATTTTTTTGTGGTTCAAAGTTGCTGTTGTACGTATTCCCGCAGATCGCCTTCAATCGTCAGAAAAACGCAAGAACATTCAGCAGCGGAACATCAGAAGGAAAACCAACGTCATCAAGACGAAACCACCCACAAGTCCTTCAAACACATCGGAAGTCTGCACAGCAAACCAACAACAGCAAGCAATAACGCAGAATCCAGCAGCAGGAGGAAATCCTCTGCCGTCATCGACACTTCCGCTCATCACAATAAATCAGCGACTCAAAAACCTGCCGATCGAAAGGACTCATCCTCTGCTCATCAGGACACCCGAAGGCCAAGCAAGCCCGTAAGTGAAGCCCGGACTGATTCGATTCCAGAGTATAGGCACTGATATTTTCCAGGTCTCTGCTTCAGATCAAGCCAAGCCAGCAGCAGCAACCGCAACCCGGATGCATCCGACTGCAGAAGCTGCAAACCGGGATCACCAACTAACACCAGCATCCGTCATTACTCAGACCTCAGACAGCACATCAACATTACACTACACCACCAGTACACAGACACAAGCGACATCTACTGCTGGGGCTCTGAGGCTGCTTGAGCCGGAGGTCGCCCAAGCCGTGTTGCAAAACCGGAGGAACTCGACTGCGTCGGAGCGACATCTAGAAACTGACAAGAAGCAAGTGTATCCTAGGAAAGCAAGCTTAGCCCTGTCTGAGACGTCCCAAACATCCGAACACCAGCAGGAAATCATCATCAACAACAGTTCCCAGTCTGACCAGAAACTAGTTTCTGATTCCTTCGCTGAAATCAAGACCTCGTTTGAAGAAGAACACACTCGAGAAAATCCAGAAGAAATCCCCAGCTATCCATCTGTTGAATCCCCAGAAATCAGTGGCTCTTTGACTAAAAGCAAGAACAGCAGCTCTGTGAAAACCACGAGGACTTCCATTTCTGAAAAGGCCGCAAGATGGATGGGCGTTCAGAATAATACTAAGTCAGCCACTGAATCAAAAGAAACTCAGCATACCTTTGAAACATCAGAGAAAAAGCCAGCTGAACAATCTGGTCCCAAAAATGTCAAACAATTTCGAACCCCTGGACGAAGAACCAGTTTTGAAACATCTGAAAACAAACCAAAAGAGGATTCAATTCAAACTCAACACCGCAGGGCATCTTCAGCTGTCCAAGAAGACAAAAAAGCCTCAAAGTCTGTTGAACAGATCTCTGCGGAAAAATCTTCCAAAAGCAAAAAGGAACACACGATTTCTTCCAGTGCAAACAGCTCCTCCCAGATGGAATCTTCCAAATCAGAAAACTCGAATTTGGTCACCAAAAATTCTGAATCCAATGTCAATAACTCTTCCAAAATCTCAAAAACTGTCCCGAAAAAACCATCCAAGCCTGAAAGCGCTTCCATCACAACTACAGACACAGACATCAAAGAAAAACAGACATCAGTCGACTCTGGAAAATTGAAGAAAAAGAAGATGAATGTCATCACAAGCCTCATCAAGTCCACTGTTGAAACAGTCTCACGAATTGGCAGCAAAAAGGACACAAAGGGATCAATTGTACATCACAAGACATCAAAGGACATTTATAGTGACGGAAGTGACACTGATGGATTTGACTTGATTTCAAAATCAGTGCAACTCGAAGCTCCAAAAATTCCTTCCCAAAAAGTGAGGAAACCTTCCTCAGGACCAAAACCTACAAATATCCCATCAACTGCAGTTTCGCAGAAAAAGTCCATCTCTAAGCAGGACCAGCATCAGGAATCTGGAAACAGTTTTCAGAAAGATTCAGAACAACGGTCTTCATCCAGAAAATCCTCAACAGGTGTGTCATCCAGCAGCAT